ATTCGCATTGTGTGCTGGAGTGATCAGAGATGGGACGTGTGAAGCGCAGTACCTTGCCGAAGAAGACAGCGCGGGGCAAGCCCAAGGGTCAGGCCCCGCCCCGCGCGCTGTCCGATAAGCCCGCTGGCGTCGGCGCGGTCAAGAGGAAGCGCGATGGTAGCAATCCCCAGATGAAGAGCACCAAGCCCGATAAGAAGGCCAAGGGCGCTCAGGTACTGTGCACTTGCCACCAATTCCTCCATTAGGCTGAATTAAATGAATTTAATCGCGAGATTAAACTCCCGCGATTTGTAGCGAGCCATGTCTTGCATGATGCTAATGGCCATGAATGTTGTGCGGCAGCCCAACAAAAAGCGCAGGACGATGGGTGGCAAGAAGGGTGCCCCGGCGGAGGCCGCGCCCCCGAAGGAGGAGGAAGAAGAGGAAGAGGAGGAAGTGGGTGAGGAGGACCTCGAGTTCTTCAAGGGCAACACCCAGTTTGCCAACTTCCTCGGCGGCGTAGACCCCAAGAACCTCACCGACCTCCTTGGGTGCGTGATGTCTGAACCATCACATGAAGGCAGAGACTCACGTCTAGATTGTTATGTTGTGTTGTGCTCCACAGCAACAAGACCACGAGGCGAGCGAGCAAGAAGGCCGAGCGCGAGAGGCAGAAGAAGGACAACACCGAGGCCGAGTGGGAGAGGAAGCCCCGCACGGCCAGCTGGGACGAGGCGCCCGAGGTACGCAACACCACCGAGGCCATCGCTACCACCACCACCATCGAGGAGGAGGCAGTTGATGATGTAGAGGGAAGCGAGGCATCAGCTGCTGCCCCTGCAGCTTCCAGTCAAGGAGAAGGCAAAAAAAAGAAGGCAAAGAGAGGGAAGAGGGGAGGCCAGAAGGCAAGGAATAAGAACAAGCAGCAAAAGGAGTAATCATCACCACTATCGTGCTGGAGAGGAGAGCTCGCAAGTCATCACTAATAAATCTTCGTTCCACTTTGTCATTCCTCTCTCTCTCTCTCTCTTCTATTGACGTGCAGATCCCGCGTCTGCCGGTGAAGGACGCGCACGGAAACCTGATCGTGGCGAAGGAGTACCGCAAGCTCGGCGCCGATGAGAGCGACGAAGACGGCAGCGAGGCTGAGGCCGAGGTGAAGGAGGAAGGCGTGGAGGACGGTGACGAGGGAGACGACATGGACCACGACGAGACCGACGGGGCGTCGATCAAGGATGAAGATGAAGAAGATGAAGAAGAAGACGATGAAGACGATGAGGAGGAGGAGGAGGAAATGGAGGTGGAGCAGGCGGCAAAGAAGGAGAAGAAGGGCAAGGAGATGGTGAGTGAGCTCCAGAAGTTCCACAGCAGGCAGCAGCAGAACGAGCACACCAAGATGCACATCGCCCACCTCTGTACCAAGATCATTGAGGACCCCGAGGAAAACGTACGGACCACTCCCGCCGCCGGCTTTGATGTTTGCTCCGATGTCCATGAGATGAGGTTGCTGACTTGTTGTTGTTTGTTGTCGACGATGCGTATGCTGTGCAGTCCAAGATGCTGAAAGAGTTGACCGAGATGTGCTTCCAAGATGATGCGATTGCCCAGAAGCTCGCCGTGCTGTCGCTGCTGGAGGTCTTCAAGGACATCATTCCCGGGTATGATACACTCAAATGCGTGGCACATGCGCAGCACACACACACACACACACAGCCGCTGACTTTCCACTTTCTTTCCGGTCTGAACAGATATCGCGTCCGTTTGCCGACCGCAGAGGAGAAGCAGATGAAGGTGTCGAAGGAGGTCAAGAAGGTCCGCGAGTTCGAAGCGCGTCTGCTCTCGTCCTATCAGAAATACCTCCAGAAGCTCGAGAAGATCATGAAGTGTACCTACGCCACACACCCAATCACCACGCACACCCATTGCCTGCGCTTCTCTGCGCATCAACGCTCACATGCACTCTCGCCAACCACCCAGACAAACCGGCGCAGGGCGACGAAGCGCCGCATGTCAAGGTCGACGTGCACTACCGCATTTTGGCTGTCAAGTACGCTTCTATCTACAAAAACTACAACTGCTACGTGAGTTGCTGTTTTGGAGACTAACAACAACAACAACAACAACAACAACAACAACAACAACAACAACAACAACAACAACAACAACAACAACAACAGGTGTATGGCGGAGTTGCTCAGGTCTGTGCCGCACTTCAACTTCACGTGGAACATCATCTCGCTCTTGGTGCCCTACCTGGCCTCCAACAACGCCGAGCTGAGGTACCTTAGTCCCCGCATCTTCCCGCTCTTCTGCTCTTCTGCTCGCTCTGTGCTAATCGACGTCGGCGTATCACAGGACACAATGCATCAAGGCCATCCACACGGTGTTCGAGAACGACAAGCAGGGCGGCACCACCCGCCAGACGGTGAAGCTCATCGGTCAGTTCGTCAAGTCGAAGGGCTTCCGCAGCCGACCCGAGGTACCGACCATGCCCTCTTTTCTTTTTCTCTGGCTTCTCGGCTGCGCCGACGTAGAACTCACAACGAGGCCCGTGGTGTGGGTGATGTAGACCATCGAGGTGTTGCTGCACATCAAGTTCACGGACATGCTGAAGGAGGGCGACGTCACGCTGGACCCGGCCAAGACCCATCTCTCGAAGAAGGACAAGAAGAAGCTCACCAAGAAGCAATACAGGGCACGTGACCAGTCCACACACACACACACACACCACACACACACACACACACACACACCGGCATTGGACCAGGTGTATGATTGATTGTCTCATCTATCTTCTTCGTCGAGTGCAGGAATTCAAGGTGATGAAGGAAGTCGAGGCCGAGATGAAGGAGGCCGAAGCCGCCCAGAGCAAGGAGGAGCGAAAGACAATCGTACGATCGCCGGCACACTCGCTCTGTCTCCAGCCATGCGGTCCACTGCTGACACTCGCTTTCACCACTGTGGGACGTTCGTTGTGTGACCATTAGCAAACGGACATTCTGCGAAGTGTGTTCATCACCTACTTCCGAGTCCTCAAGCGGACCACCAACTCGCCCCTCCTGCCCTCGGTCCTGCGCGGTCTCGTTCGGTACTGGCGGCCTCCGTCCCAGCCATTTGCCACACACAAGATGATTAGCACTGCTCACCTCACGGTCTTACTCGTTTGAACGTTTGGCACAGATACACGCGGTTCATCAACATCGACTTCATTCAGGACATCATCACGGCCCTGCGTGAGCTGATCGGCCAGGACAACTCGCCGCTGTCCGTGCCCACGCAGCTGCAGTGCGCCATCACCGCTCTGCAGATGCTCCAGCAAAACTCGCTCATGTACAACGCCCTCAACATCGATCTCAAGGTGCGCCTTCCCCCACAGTGTGTGTGTGTGTGTGTGTGTGTGTGTGTGTGTGTGTGTGTGTGTGTGTGTGTGTGTGTGTGTTGCGTGCTCACGGCTTGGCCCACGACAAACAGGAACTGTACGCGCGGTTGTACGAGCTTCTGCCTTTCATCCCCACCCACTCGATCAAGTCGCCTGAGCTCGTCAAGTCCCTTCTCCACTGCCTGTCCCTCATGTCCAAGGACAAGAAGCAGGTATGCACCCGTTTCCTGCTGGTGTGGCCAGCCATCATTAGACCTGGTCTCACACTACACTGGCCCGGCCTTCTCAAGGTGTCCGTCAATCGTATGGCCGGCTTTGCCAAGCGACTGATGAACATAGCGATGTGTCTGCCGCCCAATGCCTGCCTGGCCATCATCTCGATCATCAAGGAAATCTTTAACGTACACACACGACACACACACACATACACGACACACACACGACACACACGACACACACACGACACACACACGACACAACACACAGACCAGCGTACTGATTACTCGCCTTATCGACAATGATTGTGTGCAGCGACACCCGCGGTCGCAGCAACTGCTCGACAGCGAGTTCGTGGGCTCGGGCACGTTCATGGCCGAGGTGTCTGACCCGGAGCACGCCAACCCGCTCGCCTCCACGCTCTGGGAGTTCCCGATGGCCAAGGACTACTACCACCCGACCGTCGTGGACTACTCGGCCCGCGTGCTCCAGGCCTTTGTCGAAGCCGACGGCGGCCACGGTAACCAACCAACCTCACACTTCTCGAGAATCAAACTAGCAGCGTATGCTGACTGTTGTGTGTGTGGTGTGTGTGTAGCCAAACCGGTGCAGGCTCCGGGCGGTGTGTCGCCCGCGGCCAAGTCGGAGCCCATGGCGCTCTACAAGGCGTTCCAGTTCGAGACCGTGGGCTTCAACCCGGCCATTCCCAAGCCGCGCGCCCACCCTCTTGAAAAGATCCTCCGCAAGCAGAGCAAGGTATGCATCGCACGCACCACACGCACCACCGCACACACGCACCACCGCACACGCACACGCACAACAAACTTACCGAACATGCTCTACAGGGCCGACGAAGGAGGGCTCAGGAGTTCTTCATTCGGGCGCCCAAGGGCGAGCCCTCGGCCTTCATGCAGAGCGCGCTGGCGCAGACGGAGGGCATCGGCGCCGGCGGCCTCGAGGAGTTCCGCGAGCAGGCCCGGCTGTGGACCCAGGTCTACCACGACCTCGAGCTGCTCCCCGCCACCCGCAAGTCCGCCAAGTCGTCTGCCAAGCGCCAGCACCAGCTGAGCTGAGCTGAGCGGATGTCGAGTTACCTTTCACCATTCGTGTTCGTGTTCGCCGATCTCGTAACAGACGCAATGCCGCGAGGGCCAATTATGCAACAGCTTGGCTTGTCCACCCACCACCCTGAGTCAGAGCAGCTTGTGGTCGAGGAGGTCGAGAACTTCGGTGCAGAAGCGGTGGAGCGGAAAGCCGACGACGTTGTAGTAGCACCCGTTGATGCCACGGATCAGCGAACCGCCGGTCACCTCCTGAATCCCGTACGCACCCGCCTTGTCCCTGCCAATGCCACCGTCGTCGTTATCGCATCATCGTCACCATGATCGTCGTCATCGAGATTGAAGGGAAAAGGACGAGATGTAGTACATGGGCGAGCCGGTGGCGACGTAGGCGTTGATCATCTCGTCGCTGAGGTCGGCAAAGGTCACCTGCGTGGACTCGTGAAAGCTTCGCACGAGCGCCGCCGGCTCCGCACTGTGCTGCTGCTGCTTGGGGAGGAGAAGCACGACGGCCGTGTGCACGGTGTGTGTGCTGCCGCTCAGCCGGCGCAGCATCTCGCGGGCGTGGTCCTCCGACGAGGGCTTCTCCAAGATCTTGTCCTCCAACACCTATCACATGCGACAGACGACGATGAGAGGATGATGATCATCGCGCACGAGTACGCGCACGCAAGGGTGAGGCTCGCACAACGATGGTGTCGGCCGAGATGATTAGGTCCATGTCCTTGGCCTCACCCTTCAGTCGTTCGTGCACTGTAGACCACCCACGTTAGTGTACTGGTGCCCGCGAGGACCTGCACACCCGGGGGGAGGGGAGAGGCAACCTTCGTTGGCTTTGCCGAGCGCGGTGGCAGTGACGTAGGGCACGGGACCGAGCTTCTCTTTGTCGAGATTTTCTTCAAATCGTGACCCCACCACCTCCACGTTCAGTCCCTGCCAGAATCTCAAATCAGATCGATTAAATCGTGAATTGAAGAAAGATGGAGGACCCAACCAATTCGGCGAGTATCTGACGACGTCGAGGAGAAGCCGAGGCCAGCACAAGCCGTAGGCCGGCCATCTGTGGGGCGCGACACTGCAGCATGCTCGCAGCTCTCTTGTACGCGTAAAACGTGTGGGTGCAAAGTTGTTCTCTTTGGTGGTGCCGCCACTCTTCCTCACCGCTCCTTACAACGCGGCCGGGATAGGGTCCTCTCCTCTGTTGCGCCCGCGGTACCACTGCACGCCTTTGTAAGTCCCATAGGCGCCAACCACAGCCACACCGCCGACCGCGGCGAAGGCACCCACGCCCACCACGCCCAGGCCAGCAGCGCCAACGCTCTGCAGCACGGCACACGCGCTGCCCGATGCCACTGTGCCACCTGCAAGTGTCGCAAGAGCTTAATGAGCTGATTCACTCTCACAGTTGTAGTACAATCCACAAGCGTGGTTGGTGTGTTTGAAAAAGAAGGTCAGGCGAACCGTAGCTCGCCATGAAGCCGGCAGCCCATGAACCTGCCGTGATGCCCCCAGTGCCAAAGCCCAGTAGCCCCACACCAGTTGTGACTGCCACTGGCCCCGCCACTGCGGCCGTAGCCGTAGCGCCGCCCACCACCGCTGCAGGCCAGGGATTAGCGGTTCACGCACAAACTCAAGACAAGGGATATACTAACCTAGTTCTTTCTTTGACGGGAAGGACATGCTTCTGCCTTCGTTCTTTCGTTCTACTGCGTTGGTTTCGGTTGCAAGGTTTCAGGGTGTTTGTGTTGCCCCTCACCCATTGGTCAAAAGTGTGGTAACAAGAGAAAAATGTTTTCCTGTTGAATTTCTCTTTTGCTTCCCGCACGAAGCGGTAGTATTTTCCTTCATCTGTGGAAGGAAGGAAGGTAGAACGCAAGCATGCTGTGTGCCAGGAGGATAGTCGTCCTCTGTGGGTTCGCCCTCTTAGTGTGGGCCGCCCTGGTTGCTGCAAAGGTTTGTTGGCAACTTTAATCTCACACAACGCTCAGTGTAGATCTACTCTCCCTCTCGCAGGGTGTTGATGAAGCGCGCATCCGTGCCATTATAGCCAACATGACTCTTCTTGACAAGGTAGCTCCTCCTCTCCTTCTGCTCTTTCGCGTTCCGTGGCTTACAATGTTGGACTTTGTTGTGGTTGGTGCCCGCGGGTGCGAACCAGGCGCGACAGCTCGACCTCTACTCGGGCAACGACATTGTGACCACCGGCCAGCTGGACTGGGACCGCATCGAGCGCGCCTGGTCCCTGGGTGCGGGCGGCGCGGTGCACGACTTCTACCCGCACACGGCCAAGGAGATCAACCTGCTCCAGCAGTGGGCCAAGCAGAAGTCGCGGCTCGGCATCCCTTTCCTCTTTATCGAAGAGTGTCTTCACGGTCTCCTGCAGGTACTACTACTACTCTCTCTCTGTGTGGCGCCAGCTAACGCTGAGTTGTGTGTCTATACCCTCAGTCGGGACATACAGGTGCGTCTTTGAGCTAAGACCGTGTGCGTGGGCAACAGCGCTACATTCTTTCCACCTTCCATACTCACGGGTTGTTCGGGGCCAAACCACGACAGTGTTTCCGCAATCGAATGCGATGGGTGCGACGTGGGACACCGACCTCGTGCACCGTGTGGGCCAAGCGATCGCCGCCGAGGCCCGCGCTTACGGCATCGGCTTCTGCCTCGCGCCCGTCCTCGGCATCGGCTACGAACCGCGATGGGGCAGGTCTGACTTAGTCTGAGAGCCACTCCAGCACTTTAGACAGTAATTACTAACTGGCCAGGCTGACTATGGCGAGTGCAGGATCGAAGAGCTCTACGGCGAGGATACCTATCACGTCTCCCGACTCGGCGTGGCGATGGTGTCCGGGCTCCAGGGCGGCACGGACCCGCACACGTCGCTGGCCACCAACCACACCGTCGTTGGTTCGTCTCCATCTCCTTCCTTGGCCCCACTCGTTGCTGTCTTTAGTTCGCTTTGCCTCTGATGAGAGCTGTGTCAATGATCGTCGCAGCTGAACCGAAGCACTACGCTGGGCACTCCATTCCCGAGAGCGGACTGAACACTGCGCCGGCCCACCTTGGCCCACGCGATCTGGAGACCCTGTTCCT